GAGGAGGTCAGAGAAGGTGGAGAGCCGTACATCAGAGGAGGTCAGAGAAGGTCCAGAGCCGCACATCGGAGGAGGTCAGAGAAGGTGGAGAGCGTACATCAGAGGAGGTCAGAGAAGGTCCAGAGCCGCACATCGGAGGAGGTCAGAGAAGGTGGAGGGGGTTGTAAAGGGGTCATAGATACGTGGCGGGACTTCCGATGCCTTGTCGAGATCTCCAATTCTGTGTACCGCTCCTTGCACAGGAGGACGCTTTCCTGACTGTGGCGGCCATATTGAGTGGCGCAACTCTTATTAATACCACATTGGATCAGTCTGTTAGTTGGTTGTAATACTTTATTGGGGTCTGGTATGTATGCAGACTACTGCAGATCCTGCTTGTGTTATACTTTCAGTCATAGTTTCATGCTTCCAACAGTCACAACTTTTTCATTTCTTTTTAATGGGCTGTAATATAATAATTATGTTGGAATAAATTAGACTAATGTGTACCCATTATCTATGGGTTGCGACTTTAAGAAAATGTTTGTTTGTTTTTTAAATTCTTTTTCATGTGACTTTTATTTTTTCAACTTTAATTTGTTTTTCCTATTTTGTTTTCAATTAACTTTATTGCTATCACAGAGGGGGATAAGAAGTCCCCCTCTGTGATAGCAAAGAGGATGTGACAGGCCCTCTTTATGGAGACACCAGGGGTCTCCAAGACCCCTAATGTCACCCAGGACCCCCCAAAGAAGCTGATGAAGCAGAAATCTGCCTCACCAGCTTCTCTCCAGCATCTGAAGCTGGAGAGTGACATAAGAATGCAGAAGTGATGTAATATACAACACTTCTGCATTCTGACACCGAAGAGGGGATCGGAGGGAGATCGGGCACTGATGTCCCTCTGATCCCCTGTCACAGAGCCACCATTTCTCATCTTAATCTGCACTGGTCATCTTGGTCCGCACTTCTGATCTTAATCTGCACCGGTCATCTTAATCCACTCTGGTCATCTTGGTCTGCATCTTAATCCGCATTTCTCATCTTACTCCACACTGATCATCTTGGTCCCCATCTGTCATCTTAGTCCGCACTGGTCATCTACATCTGCACTGGTCTTCTTGGTCCGCACCCTGATCTTAATCTGCACTGGTCATCTTGGTCCGCACTTAGATCCCTGGGTACCTCATGCTTGGGTCTACCGCCTACATCCCTGGGTACCCCATCCTTGGCTCTAATGCCTACATCCCCGAGTACCCCATCCTTGGGTCTACAACCTACATCCCCGGGTACTCCATCCTTGGCTCTACCACCTACATCCCCGGGTACCCCATCCTTGGCTCTACCACCTACATCCCCGGGTACCCCATCCTTGGCTCTACCCCCTATATCCCTGGGTACCCCATCCTTGGGTATACCACCTACATCCCCGGGTACCCCACCCTTGGCTCTACCACCTACATTCCCGGGTACCCCATCCTTGGCTCTACCACCTACATCCACGGGTACACCATCCTTGGCTCTACCACCTACATCCCTGGGTACCCCATCCATGGCTCTACCACCTACATCCCTGGGTACCCCATTCTTGGCTCTATCAGGTACATCCATGGGTACCTAAGCCCCATCCTGGAGTCTACTATCCTTAACCCTGAACCCTCTAAGCTCTAAGTCCCCCCTTTCTGGCTCTCCTGTCCTTTACATACTGTGACTCCCGTTTAGTTTACTCATTTGTATTGAGACTGTAGTCTATTATGGGAGTGAGCTTGGAGTTTCCTAGGTAATAGAATAGAAGTGGAACTTGAAAGTCACCTCACCTCACACTGTCCTTGCAGCTCTGGTCTTCTCACACAGCAAACAGCATGACCGGAGAAAGCTCGGCGGAGGCTGCAAAAAATAAAATACATTGGGGCAGTGGAGAACTGTGCGCCCCCAACTGGGAACACCACAGCACAGCCAGTAAGTGGCGGGTCTCTCTCAAATCAGTCTGCCTACTAGTTTGCCGTCAGGCTGGCCCAGCTCGCTTCTCACTGGCACTATGCTGCACAAGGCACTATGGTGCAGTCGGAAATTACGCTTCTGGCCTGTCTGTGAATAGCAGTCATACTACGTACAGAGATGTGAAACCTGATAGGCTGCCTTCTCCTCACATTGGCTGGGACTGTTCACGCCCCTCCGCTCTGTATTGGGCACTATGTGACGTTACAACCATACTACGTTCTAGTTCTTTTTCCCGTGATTGGATAGAAAATAGATAGTCACGCTGTGATTGGATTAGATAGCCTCACCCCTCCCTGCAGCTGCTATTGTTTGTGTGTGTGCAACCGGCATAACGGAGCTTGTGAGGGAGGGGTCTGTCCATCGTGTGGGTATACACTGTGCTCTCTCAACGCGCCCCCCCCCCCTACCCTATCCGGTCATGGCCTCCTTGGATGTACGTAGTGATGGAGCCGAGGCCTGTGTGGTTTCTGAGGAGGATCTCGAGGAGTGGAGGAACGGCAGGAGGACGCGGTCCAAGGTGAGGAGGCTGCTTGGGCCGGTCTGCACAGCTGTGTGCTTACATTCCTTCTTGTGTGTGTCAGGCTGGTGAAAAGAGCAGTACATTGCAGACACTGGTGTCATAGCATTGAACGATATTCCTCTGATAGGGCACAGCAGTATTCATCAACGTCCAGGCAAAGTCCTACCCAGCCAGGGTGACGTGTATAGCACATTTATTAGGGTAACAAAAACAATTTAAAAAAAATGTCTTACCTTTAAGTGTGGATGCATATCATAACATGGTGTTATTGCATGGTTCCATGTGATTAATGCACGCTACCGTGCGTTACAGTATTTATAATGTGCATAATAACAGGTTAGTCAGGATATGAAATTAGTCTTTGCTTTCCTCCATGAGTGCAATGAGTTGTATGACCAGGTGTCAGTCCTTCTCCATGATGGTTGTACGTGGGTGGGTTTGTCTACAGTTTTTGTATTTAAAGGAGTATTATGAGGTGAGTGAAAATCACTCACCCTCATAGTTCTAGCCGACGTGTGACAATGAAACTGTCACACGTCGGCTCAATAGATCGGGAAGTGAGCGAACACGTATTGTCACTCGCTCACTTCTTGATCATGTCCCTGCAGAGAGCCGTGACTGTCAATCACTGCTCCCTGCTGGGATTCCCTCTCTCCCCGTCCGATCCTCCAGCGCTGACTGGAGGAATGGAGGGGGAGGGGGCTGGTAAAGCTGGCTCTGCCTCTAGATAGGCAGAGCCAGCTGTCACTCACACATCTGGGTGGATCTCGACAGTATTGTCGGGATCCGTCCCAGCTGCGGCAGTCTCAGTATACCACGAGCTGTAGCTCGCGATATACTGAGCTTTCGGTCACAGGAGGACGCTAGTATATGTCCTCCCGTGACCCTTAAGAGAACTATGGGGAAAAACACTTACCCCATAGCTCTCTTCTAAGGTGCCCATACACTTTACAATTATCGCACAATTTCTCTGTGATGAGAGGACTCCGGAGCCGGACGAGTAGCTTCCCGACCGGCTGTTGTAATTAAACGGCTGGCCGGGAGCTTTACATTCAAGCAATCGGAGGTCTCTAGAGGCGCCCGATCGCTTGTATTAGCAGAAGCTGTCACTGCCGTTGCCGGTCCTGAGATCCGCTGTGCTCGGTGCGGCCGGGACCAGCACGGCTGCTCTGTGACCGGAGATCAAATAGGAGATGAGTACACAATCTCCCTCTGACCTCGTCTCTGGTCCTCGAATGCAAGAAGTGGTGTATATTACATCACTTCCGCATTCTGCTGTCATTCTCCAGCTTCAGGAGCTGGGGGGAAGCTGGTGAAGCAGATCTCTGCTTCATTAGCTTCTCTGGGGCTCCCTAGGTGACAGGGGTCTTGGAGACCCCTGATGTCCCCATAAAGAGGAGCTGTCATGTAAATTGGCTTCTTGGCCCCCCATGTGATAGAAATAAAGTTAACCGCTTTAAGACCAGGTGTTTACACCCCCTTCCTGGCCAGGCCATATTGCAGTATTCAGCGCTGCGGTACTTTGACTGACATTTATTCCGTCATGCAACGCTGTACTGAAACACATTTTATACCATTTTGTGGGGACAGATAGAGCTTTCTTATGGTGGTATTTAATCATCCCTACGGGTTTTATTTTTTACTATATTTAGGAAAAATTACTTAACATTTTGAAAAAAACAAACATTTTTTTTACATTGTTAGGAAATAATAATAATAATTATTATTATTAGGTCTGCGGAAATTAACGATTAATTTCTCGATTAATCGTTAACCTTTTTGATTGATTAACATTTTTTTTGATCGCTAATGAAAATACTCACCTCTCCGCTGGCTTCCGGGTGTCCCGTCGGAGATCCGGTGACGTCACGGACATCGACATCACTTCCCCAAGTGTCTCCGTCGGCTAACGAAGGGAAGGGGAAAGAGTCCGGTGACGTCGATTTCCCCAAGTGGCTCTGTCGGCTAACGAAGGGAAGGGGGAGGAGTCCGGTGACATCAATGTCCGTGACGTCACCGAACTCCTCCCCCCTTCCCTTCGTTAGCCGACGGAGCCACTTGGGCCGGTGAGACTCAGTGTATATGTTCACTTCTGGATAGCTTTATCCACATTCTGCATCTTAGATTTTACTTTATGGGGCTCCAAGCCTCTGATTGGCCCTGCAGGTCTGGAGCAAATGCCGCATTCATTAATATGAATTTGCCTAAATACCTGGAGATGTCGCAATGTATATCAGTGTTATATCTTCAGGTATTTACAAGCACAGCAGATGTTATATTCTATGTCGCTTCCTGAACGTTCTTGGGCCGGTGAGTTTGCCCAATAAACGTTCTGCACGAGCGCCAGCCAAAGCATTGGCCTATACACATACAGCAATGAAGTAACACAATGAACTAGGATCACACTAAGCCCTCGTTCACACCTGAACGTTTTGTAGCGCGTTCTACGCTCGACAAACGCTCTACAAAACGCTCAAAAATATAAATCCCGTTGTATTCAATGGTCTGGTTCCCACCTTGGCGTATTTCCGCCCGTCCCTAACGCGCTACAAAAGGTACATGTACTACTTTGGGCCGTTTTTGTTGCGCGTTTCCATTGGGATACAGCCAAGTAGCGCTCCGAAACGCTCGATTGTCGCGCGATTTTTTTTTTTACCGCGAACCGCGGTAAAAAAAAAACGCGCGACAACCGCACATATGCAATACGCCTAGGTGTGAACCAAGCCTAATCCAGCACGTTATTATTCGGAGTTGCCCCACTCAAGCGGTGGCCATATTAAGTGGGACACGTGAGATTAATAATGTGCTGGATTAGTGTGATCCTAGTTCATTTTATTACATCATTGCTGTGCTGTATGTGTATAGGCCAATGTAGTTGGCTCTGTATGTGCGTTATAATTGATAAAAAAAAATTAGATTAATCGAACACAAAAATATTAATCATTAACAGCTCTAATTATTATCCATTTTTTTGGTAAAATATAAAAGACGGGGTCACGTCGAGTAAATACACACCAAACTCATCAAGCTTAAATTGCGCGCCCCCGCGAAATCGCAAAAAACTCTCATACCCAAAATTGACCATAGGCGACGCTTTAAAAGCTTTTACCGCTCATCAGTTTAGTGTTATCAGTGATTGATGGCTCTACAATGATTGCTCTCATTGCGACTTTCGCGGCGATATGTAAAATGTGCGGCGTAATGGGCGCAATCGTCGTTTTCACAGGTATGCGCACCTGACGCATATTTGCATGCATGTATGGGTGGGGACTTTAATAAAAATGTTCTGTTTTTATTCTTTTATATGTGTAACTTAAAAAATGTTTTTGGAAACTTACATTTTTTTTTCCACTTAACTTTATTGCTATCACACAGGGGGCTAGGAAATCCCCTATGTGATCACAAAAAATGTGACAGGTCCTCTTCATGGAGACATCAGGGGTCTCCAAGACCCCTAATGTCACCTAGGACCCCCCTGAAGAAGCTGATGAAGCAGAGATCTGCTTCATCAGCTCCTCTCCAGCGTCTGAAGCTGGAGAGTGACACGAGAATGCGGAAGAGATGTAATATAAATCACTTCCGCATTCTGACAGCGGAGAGGGGATCGGAGGGAGATCGTGTACCGACCTCCCTCTTGTTTGTATGTTAACAAGCATCGCTGCCTGTTTTAAAATTTTCGGTAGTGGGCATGGCCGGGCAGGAGGTAGTTAAGTGTAAAAAAAAATATATATATTTTTTTTTTTAAAAGTCCTCCACCCCCCCCCCACATACACGCAAACATGCGTCGGGTGCTCCTACGTTTGAAAACGACGATTCCGCCTAATGTGCCGCACATGTTACATATCACCGCGAACGTCGGAGTGAGCGCAATCATTTTAGGGCCATTAATCACTGATAACATTACTGCTGAGCAGTAAAAGCGTTTAAAACGTCGCCTATGGCCAATTTTCGGTGTGATCGTTTTTTTTTGCGGGTGTGCAATTTTAAGGCTTGACATGTTTGGTGTATATTTACCCGACGTGACCCCGTCTTTTATATTTTTACCAAAAATATGGGGAAAAATAAATGTTTGACATAACAGGGGAAACATTTTTTTTCTTGACATTTATGGTACTTTTTTCATTATACAGTAAAAAATAAAAATAAAAATGTTAACATAAACTGCAAGGCTAAAGTCCGGTCATGCTGACTCGTGACATTTTTGACTGACTGGTGAGACACCCTAACATTTTCCAAGCCCTGGTGACTATGCATATCGAGGATGTGGCCATGACGCTCTGGGCTCATAGGCAGTAGGTTGAAGTGGGTGTCATTCGTCCTGGAAGAGGAACAGCCCTGGACAATGGAGCTGTGAGTCTGCTGGGGACCTCAGTGGGGAAGTAGGTGAGTATTGCAGCAAGAGTTGCTTTATTATCAATATATGTTGTTGTGCTTTTTATTTAAACTGACATTGAGACATGGAGTTTGCTTATAATAAAAGTTTTCTTTGTCATTTGTCAAAGCGTCATTTGTCTTGTGTCCTGTGTGGTCCTATCGCACCAGACTTCTCTCCACATTGCACCCACCAGTCTTTTATCAACCAGTGGCTGATTGATCAAAACTGGTGGTAATGGACCACAGAAATTTGTTGTGAACTGGCCATAATGGTCTTTGAAAAGGCAAAGGAAGGATTGCACACCCTGCTTGTCTTCACTTCTCCAGTAGCGTGTATATGTATAGATATATATATATATATATATATATCAGATATATATATCTGATAAATGGGAATCCAGTGCTGTGTAGAGAACATATTTTTTTCTCTCTGTAATGTATATATGTAAATTGCTCATATGGGGGTACAGCAAGAACATTCAGTGACATAGCCATGTATCCCAGCATCAGCCATGTGATGGAATGTTGCTAGGGTGACAGATACTCCCTAACATGGAGATGGCCCCATGGGACTCTGTGTCATGTTATGTACCGCGTCATTCTGGATATCCCAGTGCATTAAAAATTCCCCTGGGTATAAATTGTTGGAGACATTGTCATACTGCAGAGTAGTACATTTCTGATTAAAAGAACGGCTTGGATTTTATGGAGATTGAATTGTTGCAGGACATTTCTTCCAGCAATGTGTGCGACAGGAAGACTCGGCTTGAACAATGTGCGTTGCATGTTGGTAAGCGGTGTGTTTGTCCTATTACTGAGCAGTTGGTGCCCTTCAAACAACTGTCACACAGAGGTCAGCATGCTGGGTAAAACTGTAGGACAGCCAAGCAAATGATAGTCGGCTCAGTTCTGTGCCAAGAATGCTTTGCTTGCTTCTCTGCTACCCAAATAGTATTTTACATCACTCTGTAATCGATGAAAAGAACTATTTTTGTCAAGTGGCTTTATGGCTCATCTTATGTCCTATTTGGAGGTTTAGTGTTTCAGATATGCTATGCACCTTTATCATATAGAGCAGGGGTAGGTAAACACCGGCCCTCCAGCTGTGGTGCAACTACAAACCCCACTAGGCATCGCTGACTCTAACAGCCACAGACATGACTCCCAGAGGCAGATGCATGATGGGATTTGTAGATTCACCACAGCTGGAGGGCCAGAGTTTGCCTACTCCTGACATAGGCCAATGTGCAAGATGGCAGCATCCACATACAGGACAAAACTGGCTTCCTCAATATAGCTGCAGAAAATGAAGGTCTCCTGTGTACCCTACACTACATCACACCATTTATTTAGCCCTGTTACCAAACACCTTTGACGCCATTGATATGCACAGCATCATAACGCTAGTTTAAGAGGGAATTTACACATTTTGGTGTGCTGGAGAAGCCATGCCATCATACTGCATGATGAAGTGTAATTTGACTTCAGATTTGAAGGCTTTAGGCCTCATTCACACACAACGCAAGAGCAAAATTGTATATTGCGAATGTAGGTGCATGCGCGTATTTGTCAAAGCGCTATAAGCAATCCCAGAATGCGTAATTCGTAATAGAAATTTTAATGAACTCTGTGCGTACACGCAGAAATACGCTGCCCGGACGCATCTCGGGTCCATTCTGTTTTTGCGCATTTTTACACTACGCAAATATACACCTCCATACGCAGCTATGTGTATGGAGCCATTTATTTGCATGTGCTGCATATGGTACAATGCGCATATACGCAGCAATTGCTAATAAATTCTTTAGTGGGGGGGGCAGACTCTACTCCTAGTCTACTCCTTGACTTCCCTTCCTCCTGCCTAGACATGCAAACCTTACACTTACATTAAGTTTCAATGGAAGCACAGAAAGTAAGCCACTGCTATGTCAAAAGTGTTTTGTTTTGGATAGAGTGGAAAAGGCTAAAGATTCTGTTAGGATTTTATTGCTGTGTGTCCCTATTGGAGCACCCCCTCCCATTGGGATGGTGGGAAATCTCTGCAGTGGGGAAACATTCACAGAAAAAAAAAAAAAATTTTTTTTTGTAGGGTCTGATGAGAGGTTTAACCTTGTATAATTGCATGAATAACCAGCAGCTAGAGCAGCCATACTAATTACCCCTCACGATCCCTCCAATTTGATCATTTCCCTATACATTCTGTTTAATAGTACTTTGAAACCTTCAAACAAGTTATTTTTTTATGATACAAGAGTCAAATAAAATTGATTCTGGGCTATATGACTTCTGCCTTTGTTGCTTTCTTCCTTGCACACACAGTCAGAGATGTGGTACAGGTGAAAGTGAGACTTAAAGATGAATTGGAAATGTTCTGAGTGTGAGAAGGGAAGGCGAGGGCCATGGTGTCTGTTTATCGTTGGATGTCAGTTAGTGGTCTAGAAGTAAATGAAGGAAGGTGATTAACCCAAGCTTTTGGGATCCCTTTGGAAGACCTAGAAAGAATGGTGTGGGAGAGGAAGAAGCAGCATTGAAGAAGACCTTGAAAGAACTATGGGAAAAACCATGAGAAATTTGCATCTTGAGTGCCAAGGGGAAACCGTGTGCAATACAGAGGAGGGGTCAAGCAAGAGAAGAAGAAAAAGGCACATTTAGATGTGACTGCATAGAGGTCACTGGTCACTTTTGTGGATACCATTTCTGTTAAATGTGCTGGGTGCAAAGAAGTGAGTTAGATGTGAGGAAGAGAGTCACTGTAGTTAGACACATGAGGAGTTCAGTTTATCCCTGTCCCCATGCCTTTGTGTTGGTCCTTAAAGCCCAACTCCAGGGAAAATAAAAGTTTCCCCTTGCAGTGGAGTTGTTTAGGCCCAGGGGGCAGGAAAAATCTGTTTGCTTACCTGATCTTGGCTCCCCGTTTTCCCCTCCGCTCCAGCTGTGGTCTGTCCTCAACCTCCTTGCATACAATGCAGGGCTATGGAGCTTGGATTGTACGTGATGACATCAGCGCTTCTTAGACCGACACAGAGAAGGGTAGAAGAGGCTGCACAGACCAGTTTCTCAGCCGGGCAGGAGGGGGAAATCAGGTAAATAAAATGCTTTTTCCTGTCCCCTAGGCACTGCAAGGGAGATGGCTGTGACCGTGATGGTTAAATTCACTGCGGCATAGGGTTGTTTTTCTTCTTAAAAAAAAAACACACACACACACACACACACACACACACACACACACACTGTTGGGTAGAGGTTGCATAGATTGATTTAGTGAGTGACCTGGGATTTAATTGTTGATGTCATTGATTTGCTTGTGTCTATGTGTCCTATTTGCCTTTTTTTTCTTTTTTTTAACTTTTTTTTATCACATGGGCAGGGCTTGAAAATTAACTCATCCAGAGGACGCCGGTGCCGGATGAGTCGCAGCACACGCCGGTTTCAATAGTTACCAGCATGCACTGTGTCCGGCTTCTAACAACAAGACGCTGGGCCGCTAGCTGGCTCCGCCCCCGTCCACCAGCGAGAGCGCCGTGTGGAACACGGGGGCCTTTCCTGTTAACCAGCAGGGACAGACGTGTGCACTCATGTCACGGCCTCGCACCCGGCACGTGTGCAGAACGGGACAGAGGACCTCCTGAAACTGTCGGGCGTTCGGTCCATGACTGAGCGCCTGACTTTTCAGAGGGGGGTGACACCAAAATTACAGTCATTTTGGTGTCACCCCTCCAATGGTGTCCCCCGGGTGCGGGCCGCACCCCCCTTGTGACGCCACTGATCTGGATGTCATAACAGGCTGTTATCTAATACAAAGGCAACAAAAGCAACATCATAAATCAACTTGGAACGTGTGTTGGTGCTCATGGCAACAGTAAATATTGGCAAATAAACATTATGTAATGTATTGTGGACAGTAAATAAGTATACTATGGTGTATGGCAGTGGTCCCCAACCTTTTTATCGCCGCGGACCGGTCAACGTTTGATAATTTTACCGTGGCCCACAGCAACCTGAGATGACATGTGGGGCACAGGATGCAGAAATGGAAAGAGTGTACAGTGAAATTAACAAAAATATTACAGACCAAAAAGAGAAGAAGAAAAAAAAAAAGATTAATCTGTATGGCAGAACCCAGAGCTGCCCCGTGATTGTGGGCCCACTGGTAGTGCACACCAAAAACTGCTCAAAAAACTTTATTACATACAGATTATCATTTTTTTTTCTTTTTCTCTTTTTGGTCTGTAATATTTTTTTATTCCATTACATGTTTAATGCTGCTGGCTTTATTATGCATTATTCTCTGTTTTTAGTCTTTAATATTATGGCCGCTGTGGTTGCTAAGAAACGCTTATGGAAACTTTCCCCACCGCTAGAGCTAGATGCCACGGTCCTCTGTCCCGGTCTGCGCACGCGCCGGGTGACAGAGGCTGTGACTTGAGTGCACACTTCTGCCATCGCTGGTTAACAAGAAAGGCCCTGCGTTCCACGCGGCGCACTCGCTGGTAGACAGGGGCGGAGCCAGCTGGCAGCCCAGCGTCTTGTCAGCAGCCGGACACAGCGTGCGTTGGTTACTATTTAAACCGCTGTGACTCATCCGGCACTGCTGTCCTCTCGTCAGACATTAATTTTCAAGCCCTGTAAATTACAAGGCTATAGTCCGGTCATGCTGACTGGTGAAATCTTTGACTGACTGGTGAAACACCTTAAGGCTGGGTTCACACCTAGGCGTATTGAATATGCGCGTTTGTCGCACGTATCGCGGCGCGTGTTTTTACCGCGATTCGCGGTAAAAAAAACTGCGCAACAAACACGCGTTTCCGAGGGCTACTTGGCTGTATGCCAATGGAACGCCCGACCAAAACTCCCCAAAGAAGTACACTTCTTTGGGCGTAGGGCGGTTTCCCGCGCGTTCGTACTCGCGGAAAAACGCCCAGATGGGAATCATGCACATTGAAAATAATGGCATTTCCCTGTTTTAGCGTTTTTTCCGCGAGTACGAACGCGCGGAAAAACGCCCAGGTGGGAACCGGGCCTTACATTTTTCAAGCCCTGCACAAAGGTAATTGAAAAGAGATATTTAGGGAGATATTTAGTTTAAGTAACTGCTTTTCACTGAGAATGAAAATGTCACGTTTGTTATGTTGTCGCCAGTAATCATACAGAACCTACTAAGTTCAATAGCGTAATTTGGTGCATGCCTTTGTTTTCATGCTAGTACTTTCACATTCATGTTTAGTATTCTACTGTGTTTAGGAAAAATAACTTTGTTGATATGTGGGATTAACCAATAACTTGTGAATCTTAAATATTGCTAGACTTCTGGTGTTTACACATGTATTGTTTCTGTATTTCAGATCATTCCAGTATGGGAGAACAAGTCATGTGGCTCGTCCCGCAGTTTAGTTCGAAAAATTGGATCACAACTGCCTCTGAAGCCATGTCCAAGAGCATGTTTTGAGGTACTGTTTTTGGAGTTACATCTAAAATGTATGTATTGTAGAGTTTAGTACAGAATGTTCGATCCTTATTGTTGTTAGTGCAGCAATAAAGGTTAGGTTAGAGCAATTTAATAGCATAAATCAAAGCTAACCAATTTTATTTAACCTGCTTATGTCAGAACTATTGAGGCTAAAAGAATTGGTTCTGGACAAAAGCTTTTTCAGAAATTCTTGGAATCTTATACCACACATTTCTCAGCTAGTAAATCATGAGAAATACCATCAAAAAGATACAAAACAGCCAGGAAGTTATGTTCTCCGGTTATGGATGGTGAGAAGTGCCATCAGCAAGATAAGGACTGATCTTGAGCTAGGCTGTGTTAGAATCACACATATTGCCTAACAAAAAGGGTCTTTGATTAATTTCTTGTTATGACTGAGAAAAAGAAAAATAATGAGCGCGTTATAAAGTTGCCTTAGATACAGTTATTATTGAAAGAATTTGTATTATTGCATTATTAGTATGGCATGAAGCATAGACATACTTAATTGAATAATTTTAGATACATATATATTTTCTTGTGTATGTGTATATATATATGTATATGTATATATATATATATATATATGTGTGTATATATATATGTTCTTCTAATATTCACCCTATATTCATTATATATTGTGTGGTTATACTTATTGAAACATATTAGCATATAGTATCAGTTTGATGTCTTTAAGTACAAATAATTAGGTTGGGTATAATGTTGTATCAGTGAAGGATTTTAAGGTAACCAATGTGTCAGCAAATTGCTTCAATCATAAGGGATAATGTTGGAATTTTAAAAGAAAAATCCAGAATCAATTTTAGTCCAACAGTGCCCTCTTCCGGTAGTTACAGAGACCAGATCGCGCCCCTCTGGCATCATAATTAAAGGTAAAGATAAGCAAACCAGGCCCACATTTTTGGGTGATAAAAAGTTAGGAGAAGAGTATACAAGAAGGTTTTTAGACACTGAAAAAGGAGGACACACACATAAGAGGGGGAGATTTGAAGCTGATTGACGGGCTGTCCAGGGGAACCGACACAAAAGCTGACATCTCTCAGACAAAAGATTTAACACTTTTTAGTAAAGTATCATTTCTATTTATCTGTAGGCAATTGAATAGCCATATACGTCTGACCTAGGCCATTTGGTCCTAGTAGCATCAAGATTTGAGTAGATGATTCTAACTGCAGTATGAACAATCTCTTTTCCAATCTTGGGAGAGAAATCTACATATAAGTATAATCTCTTTGAAACTGATTTCAGTTTCTAGTTAATGATGTGGTTGTGATGTATACTTAAAATTAAAATAATTTAGTGGAAGTTTGTTTTTGCCTTAAATAGAAACTTGGCAAATTGCCAGTTCTGTGCATGATATAACAAGTTAGTTCTTGCGCAGTATAAATTTTGAGCTGTTGAATATCTGTTGTCTGAGAGAGATCACGTGTCAAATCTGTACATTATGTTGTTACATTCTGCTGAGCTAATAATACGCTACTAATTGCATTCCAGGTGTTACTTCGTTTTGTTTCATTTATAGTTGAAAATATCCAGTGGTTTCATTTTTCTCTATCTGTGTTGATCAATATTATTGAAACTTTTGATCCAATTTGATTTTTTTGTGTCTCACCAATCATCTTTTTATTATCATTTTGCACTGATTTTTAGTTAATAAATATATATTTTTGCACACAATTGCACTCATTTTGTCTTCAGGTTAGCACAAATAAATGAACTTGAGTTATTTTTGTTGATTAGTGAAAATAAGTTGGGAATCTCCTTAATTCCAGATCCTGGCCTATTTTCATAGATAGAGAACTGTTTATTTTATCAGAGTAAACATTCTGACACTATATTTTACCACTAAAAAGCAACTGTGTCCTCTCAGAAAAGTAAGTTATTGGTGTAGTGCAGGGGTAGGCAACCTTGACTCTCCAGCTGTGCTGAAACTACAAATCCCATAAGGCATTGCAAGCCACAGACATGACTCCCAGAGGCAGAAGCATGATGGGATTTGTAGTTTCAGCACAGCTGGAGAGCCAAGGTTGCCTACCCCTGGTGTAGTGAAAAGAGGTAGGTACTTGGGTACTAAATAGAAATCATTGTAGGTGGTCTACCCCTGCATTGCAAGGGTTAACTGCTCATTTTTCTCTGGGGGAGCAAATATAGAAGACACTGGTATGTCCCTCAATGTCTTCATGTCTAATGGACTGCATTAGATGTGATGACGTTATGTGTCCTTAGACTGCCAGAGCCCAGGGAAGAAGAGACTGCAGAGACAAGTCTAGCAGGCAGGCTAAGCTGAGGGTCGGGCGAGTAAATCTATATTTTTGCTTCCTAGACAAAACGAGCAGTTAACTTTTTCAGTACAGGGGTAGCCCCACCGCAAGGGATAATTTTTATTTTAAATCCTGAAGTTCCACTTTGATAAACTTATGGTTAATCAGTCTAGGTAATCTTCTATATTAATTTACTTATAAAGCATGTATATATAGAAAGCACAAAATGTTGCTTCTGTGCACATTCATTTGGAATACATAGAAAGGTTTAGTATTGTACAGATCACCTAGTGCATGTGAATGATAACTCATCTGTAGAGTCCCATATGTATTGTAGTGGTGTATTTTCTTTGGCGGGGGGGGTTTTAGTCTCATCCTGTCCTTATTGGTCTTGGTCACAACTAAAGTGGGATTGTGCTTTACTTGGTAAGGGACTGTTGCCATGTGGGTGTGGAGGTTGCTGACCAGATAATGACGTAAGTGATGCAGCTTTTGCAATTTGTAGACAAAACACCCATAAGCAGGATTTTATGTTTGTGTGCCCAATGAGGATATTTCTTATATTTCTTCTCACTTCCTATCTTTTAAACTTGGAAATATGGGAGCTGGCATGAACTTGTTTCTGGGGGTACTTGCTTTGGACCGGTCTTTACCTCTGCTTTGTTAATAGTTGAAATGCTTACTTGGAACAAGCAAGTGCATATTGGGTGCCCTGCAGATACTGCACAAAAGGTAGATGCAATTGTCAGCAATGGCAGCTTCCATATTTCTATCCCAAATGGCTCATGTTAACCATGAATATTATGACATTATTGACATGTAATTTGATGTGTAACTCTTACGTCTCTTTAGGCCCTTCCGAGTGCTTCTGACCTGTTTTTCAGTGATGCACCTCTTGTACCCACATTAGCAGACATTAAGTGGATTGCAGCAGATGACGATGAAACCTATGCAAGAGTCAGGTATTTCTTATTCTTTTTCATCTTTAAGGCCCCGTTCACACCAGGGCGGCAGCACAATTTTTGAAAAAGCGTTTTTTGGCGTTCTTAATCGCATTTCAGTGCCGCAACGCAATTAAAAATGCACAAGAGCGCGCTAATCAGCGCGTTTTCCATATAGATTTCAAAGAAAAACCCGCTGATCAGCACGACAAAAGTAGCTTAGGCATCATTTTGGGCAACAGGCATTTCGGATCGTGGGGATCCGTGCCCTTGAATGAACGGTCCCCATAGGAATGTATGGGATTGTTCATGTAGTCGTTTCAGCGTGGAAAAATCCATGTGAACAGGGCCTATATTAGTCTCCGGGCGGGAGGAGTTGAGCGGGGACAAAGCAGGCTGCTATAGACCACTTGTACATAAAGCGGGCTGCCCCGCTCTACATTTAGCCCTACTTGCCCGCAGCAGGGCTAAATGTAGAAAAAAATCCACCCACCCGGTGCCTGGAACTGCATGTCGTGGGCGTCGGGCGATAGGAATTCCCCATCCCTGGTCTGGCATACAGGGTACTAGTTTCCTGGAAAACTGCACTATATTTTTGTGTAAGAATCAAAAAGAATTGTTGGGGAAAACTGCTGCTTTTACCAACACGTTAGCAAGTAACTCTGTTTCTAAACCAACAGTTGAATCCTGTGCGTGATACTTTTTATGTTGCACTAACTGTTATTTTTTCAGGATCTGTTTTGAGGGACTGATAGTGCAAATAAAAGAAGTATCACAGATGGGACTTAAAGGAGAACTATGGGTTCAGTGCTTCTCCCCATAGTTCTCCTAAGTGTAACGGGAGGACACAAGCTAGCATCCTCCCGTCACCGAAAGCTCAGTATACCGCGAGCTATAGTGAGACGCCGCAGCCAGGACGGATCCCGACATTACTGTCGAGATCCACCCAGCTGGGTGAGTGACAGCTGGCTCTGCCTATCTAGAGGCAGAGCCCCCTCCCCCGTACATTCCGCCAGTCATCGCTGGAGGATCGGACAGGGGAGGGGGGGATCCTATGTGACAGTCACGGCTCTCTGCAGGGACAGGATCGAGAAGTGAGCGAGCGCCGGTATGTGTTCACTCATTTTTTTTTTTTTTTTTTTAGCATGTTGCTAAACCAAAAAAAAAAGATTGGGTATAAAATGCATGCACATAGAGCAGCAGCCTTGCGCAGCTTGTAAATATGGCCAGATAGTGGGCTGTTCTAACAGGCAAAGGCTCCTACACATATGGATAGTGTTGTAGCATGCTGCTACCTTCACACATTCCTAGTGAACCATCACACTGATGCACTGCCTCACTGGCCAGTAGCATTGTACAGGAGGCAGGAAGGAGTGGGAAACCTCCATCATTATCAGGGACTGCCAGAGCTTTACCTGTCAAAGGCCAGACAATCAGCTGCAAGGGCAGATCTTTAGATGCTGCTCTAGGTATGTTTAGGTGGAAAAAAAAAACAGATCGTACATTAAAACAGGGATGTACAAATCCCAGGAGCTCCGTGAACTCCTTACAAATGACAGCTGCCTCCTAATTTTTACATTTTTCTCTACTCTAGACTTGGAGCTCAAAAGTATCTGTACATGTATTGAGTACGTGCCTGGTATCTGAACATCCCTAGTGTGTATATAATATATAAAGTGTATATAATATTTAAAGTGAAGAATGAACACAATACTAAATATGTGTGTTTACACAAAATCAATAAATGGTTGTCCACAGTTGCTAGCCATGTCGGTAATATATACAGTACCTGGTCCAGGTTCTGCCTGAATGAAGTGAATGTTTGTGCTTTCTGTGAGCTGCTCTTAGTTGTAGGATGTCCATGTTCTGTTTTGGAATATTTGGCATTTATATGAGGATTATCTGGTGCAAATGTTCTTTTTTGTTGTGTGCATGTAGGAGTGACTCTAGGCCCCTGAAGCACAAATGGAGACCAAGCCCACTTTTAGTAATGCACAGAAATTCATCCGTCCCCAATCTGAAACTGAAAGAGGAGAAAATGTTTTCTCTGAAGAAACCAGGCACGTCTTTAAACCGGTCTACAGATTTGCAAGACGAGCTGAGTCTCCTAAGAAGTCAGATTGCTAGACTAGTTTCTGGAAATGCAGGTATTGTTGAGCTACACATGCATTACAGTAATCCTCCCTCTTGTAATGAAGTCTTGCTGGACTTAAACTCAGTAGACGCAATGTTTTACTGACTTTTTCTTTTGCAGATTTGGAGTGTTTGTAATTCCCCAGCTGATTTTGGGGTAATTTAGGTATTTTTTTGCCATACCTTTTTATTTGTGTGAAACTACTGGTTCAGCAGTGGTTAAAATACATCGAAGCCTGATCACTAAAATGTTCTTAAAGTTTTAACCTGTTCTACTTCCGAATCTTGTTTTCAGCCTTTTGAAAACTGCAGCATTAATTAAGATAATACTTTGTAATCCTGTCACTAAGGTTATTTTTCAAGCATTTGCTGTTATGGGGTGACAACAGTCTCCTAATTGTGCTTCTGTGTTGTCACTCTGTCACATGCTCAACAAGCCCCTTTTTTCAGAGGCTAGGGCTATATGCTGCTTGAAACTGCCCTTACATACAGAAGTGGCCTAACGGCAAGGAATGCATTTTAGTTTTTTCATGGCGTGCTGAGTGGATGGCATAAATCTACATTTGTGTAACATTCATAGAGAGACATAGCTTTTGATTGTAGAACTATCAGAACCAGTGCATTATGCTGTCCGTTTGCCGGAGTAGGAAGCTAGGTAAACAAAAACTTAACAGGCTGCAGAGCCCTGGATATTTAGATACTGAGATTGATCTATGATGGAAATCTTGCTGTCTAGCCCTTTCTACCGTGTTTCCCCGAAAATAAGACGGTGTCTTTTATATTTTTTTTTCTACGAAAAAAGACACTAGGTCTTATTTTCGGGGTAGGTCTTATATTACAGAAATCCCTGAAGATAGTGCTGGGTCTTATTTTCGGGGTAGGTCTTACTTTCGGGGAAACATGGTATGTTCTACTTCTCCACCTTTTTTGTACCTCTTCCTTTTATATGTATCTCACACACACACACTTCCCTCTGCTTTTATTTACCATTGCCATGTTTCCAGTGGTCGACCCTCATGTTGTTGTGTTTTTTTTTCTTTTTTTGTGAAGCTGAAGTTTCTGTGCCGCTAACACATTCTGGACCATACTGCGCAGTTGTAGACATTTTTAACTATACTGTGCAGGTGTTACCAGTTTTCTGTACTGCGAAACCAAGACCTTTCTCCTGTTCCTAGAGACACTATCCATGCGCACACCCTCTGGAAGCCCGTGCCTTTTAGGTGATGTAGTCTCCTTTTCAGCCTCCCCAGTGATTGGTGGAGCCTTATTAGAGCTGTAAACCTTTTTTTTTTTATACAGACTAGGGATGCACCCATACTGAGTATTTGGGGCGAGTACTCGTAATTACCCAATGGCTCCGATACCGGAATTTCCGGTCAGAGGAAGATTTCCTCTGACCGGCAGTGCCGTAAGGGAACATGGAGCCGGCTTCCCGGGCAATCAGGACTCCCGGCTTCCTGATTGGCTCCCCAGCCAAACAGCATTGAGCCGGCCGACTTCTAAATCGGTCAAGAGCTCACTAACTTAATCGCGTGGAGGGTTTCTGGTTCCATCAGATCAGTTCAGACATATCAGTCAATTAAATGATCGTATCGATGTGAGTTACGCAACAACAATCATTGTTTTTTGAAGTTGTACAAAGCAGTTGTTGCTGGCCACACAAAATATCTTCGTCTTGGTACTGATGTCAGACTTCTTGTCTTTCAGCAACTTCAGGCTCAACAGAATCTTTACCTGGCAACTTGGAAACAAGTACCCCTTTTGCTGACTTTGCACCCACTTATCAGTCAACCACATCATTCGTAATTAGTGACATTACCGAAGAGGATGAGCTGGATGTGTCAGAATATTCCACTTCTTCAATAATGGAATCTTCCTTTACTCACCAGCGGCAAATAGAGGCCAACATGTCTGATGATGAAGACTCGGTTTGTCTCTCAAAGTCCAACAGTTTTGCGGATATGATGGGAATCCTTAAGGATATTCATAAAATGAAAACAAGCAGAGATTGGTAAATTCTATGAGCTATTTATTCACATTCCTGAAGGGTCAGCATCCCTGTTCTGAAATGGCACATTGTGGCCTGAGTTTCCTCCACTGAAGGGTTTTCCTTTCACAAATTGTAAAAAGGAGGTAGTCAACCCCATTCATAACATGCCTTAGCTATTGACGGGTATTAAAACAACCGTTTATAAATGGGGTACGTTGTTTGAAAATATCAGGAGAATAATGTGCTGGTGATATGACTAACCGTTTAAATGCAAGCCATTATCATTTTCACTTGAACCCCCTTAATATGTCCATGTGAGGAGGTGGATATCTGAAATCTAGTGTCGAGATTGTACAGCCTAACCTCAGTAGGCAGGTCTATCTGTGGATGGAATGATTCTTTTACTGTATGTTATGGTTATTTTGGCACTAATATTTGTGCTTTGTTTCTGTGCAGGTCTAATAGAAATCAGTGTCTTCACAAAGAAGAAGATCCTATCAATCTTATTTCCGAGGTCCTTAGGCAAAAATTTGCACTTTGTGACGACGATGACAGAAAGAACATTTAACAAAGTTCATAAAATGTATTTTTTTTCCATGTAGTAAAATTCTGCAAAGGTCAATTATTTTGTTCTAAACTGAGGCAAGAGTTCAAGCTATAATTGTGTTTTATTACATTTACATGAGCTTCGTATAGGTGGAAAATAAACCACTTGAACAGTTTTGTCAATTAACAGATGGCTGCTACACCGTGATAGAGACCTGCATAATAGACTCTTATATAGGACACCACACAGCCATATGCTAAATAGCGAATTGTTAGAACTACAGATTTCTGAACAGCTAAAGATAAGAGTGTGACTGATGCCCTGTGTTATGAATGCAAATCTTAATTATGCCATTTCCACCGGTTTTAAATGCTCTATTTTAGATCTAAGGATGAATAATTTCCATTTGCTACAGTTATGGTTGTGAAATGTTTTAAGTACTCTTGTCTTGAAATTTTACAGCAGGTTCTATATAGCACACTAAGGCATTCAAGCTTTTGGTTGTTCTGGTCTGAAATTCCTATTACAGATTTAATGTGTACTGTAGACTTTATTCATTTTGCAGACTTTGGATGCTGGATGGATTAATACTGCAGGCAGCTAAGTATTAAAACATAGGGGGGGAGTTATGAAAACTGGAGCAGACAAAGTCTCGAGCCGTTGCCCATAGTAACCAATCCGCTTCTTTCATTCTCAAAGCTTAACTCAAACTGAAGAGAGAAGCTGATTGGTTACTATGGACAACTGCTTCAGATTCTGTCTGCTCCAGTTTGACTAAATTCCCCTTTAGAGAATGTATGTCTGGAAATGGCACAAACTTAATCTGTTCTGAATTGCGTTGTAACTGTTGATTTTTATATCAAAGGGTAGTTTTTCTGCTGCATTTCGACCTGCTTTGCGTTGCATTTGTTTGCACACAGTATGTCCTATTAAGGTGTGTTTGAGCTGCAGGATAATCGGTTTAAATGCAACAAACCCAGCTGCATGCATTTGAAGGGAAAATGCACGGTTTGACTAGAACACCTGTCAACATGAACCCTTAAGCAGCCAGCTTTTATGGGAAAGGTGGGTTATTTTCTCAGTGATTTATAGAACATTTAGGAGAACTGTTACAACTTACAGTATATGGTTTAATTTATTTTCCATTTGGAAGGACAGTATCACTGAAAGCATACCATATTTCAGTTTTATGTGGATGCTAGCTGATTTAAGTCACTTATGACTGGAGAATTATGTGGGTAGGAGATATGCATTTTCCATTTCCCAGTTTTTCTTACCAGCGTCATTGCATATTAAAAGGTAGTCTCTCTCTATCATTGTCCTTTTTTTAATGCCACATTACTGACCCTATTTCTAGATTCGTGTATCTTTAATTACAAATAGAAATGTATAATCGTAATATATATGGACAGCTTTTCAGCTCTCATCCATATTCCATCCTCCTGTCTCTTACAAAGATCTCTGTAGGTACATGCTCTGCCATCCATAATAGACAGCCTGTTAAAAGCCCAACACATTATAATAGGCACTTAAAGCCTATTACACCTTACTTTTTTGTATTTTCCTTTCCAGCTTGCCTGATTTGTTCATCGGCATTAGTGGGCGCTGATGAAGTGGTACCTTAGGGAAGTGATATAATTATTTCCTCACAGGAAGTTCCTTTTTTTTTGGATTTTTTTTTTTTTCTTGTCAGAAGCAGGTTATATAATAGGTCAGTTCTGTCCCCAGCTAGTCATCCCTTTCACCTGCTCTTGTTTAAAGCCAATTGTTACTTATGTAAAAGAAATATGTAGGTGTCAGCGAATACAGGACTGGCAGGAGTCACACTGTTCTGTGCAGTGATGGTCTCTGCCCCCCAGTTCATATATTTTGGGGCATAATGCTATACTAAGAGGGAGGTGTGGGAAGCCTAAAAGAAAAACGAAGGAGCTGGATGGAAAATTTGGGGGCCAACAACGATAACAGTCAATCAGCTGCTATGACTATTTGGCTATTCTGAGAGCAGCACACCCACTGCTGTCAGAATACAAAGGGCACAGAGGGAGATTCATCCATCCCCCCAAAAAAACAACTTTTTATTTGTATGCATTACACGAGTGTCTAAGTTATACTATCGGTCACCAATCAATGATTCTTTGGGGTTGTTGTTTTTTATCGGTGCAAATTGATTCATTTCTAGTGCACTTGTAGCTGTTCCGGTGCTCATGTGATTGCATAGAACAATAACGCTTAATGTTATGCCGGACCTTTAGAAAATCACAAAACAAAGGTTTATTTAATAATTGAAACTTTTTTTTGATAGCTTTCACAGAATTTTCAATTACAAGAACCTGTAGCTTGCTACACCCAGGCTTGAGCCAAGTTTATTCTACATTTTGAAAGTTTTTACTAAGATTGCTGCATTAAAGCATGAACTGTATCATTTCATTTCAGTGCATCTGTTTGGCACAGTGTTTGTTTCATGAAGGTTTGCCGTCACATTTTACATGTAACTGTACATGTGTAATCTTTTACATGCCTAATGTAGAATATATTATGCTGTGAACTTATTTTATATTTAATTCAGATGAAGCTATGCGCATTGTACCTAACTCAGGCTGTATGTAAATATTATTGCCCAGTCAACAAGAGAAACCTGCTTGTCGTATGAGTTTATTCAATAAGGCAAAATGCAGTAGTCTATGGCAACTAATCAGAATCAAACGTTTTCTGATCTGCAATCTGATTAGTTGTGATCGGTTAGTGCATTTCACCATTATTGTTTGCACTGCATTACTGCATATGCCTTTTCTTGTCTATAGTGCTGGAAGCAGCATGAATTATGAGTGAATATGATGCTACCAGGACATCTAGCATGGCGTGAATGGAGGCTTTTTAAATGCTACTGTTACATGAATAGGTGCTGTACAGAATACTTGTTTGAAATAAACAACATTTTCAAATAAGAGTGTTTTTTTTTACTGTTTTGGGTCTGCTGTGTATATATATTTATTATTATTATACAGTATTTATATAGCACCAACAGTTTGCGCAGCGCTTATCGCAGAGTGTTTGGGCTGATATGAATGCTTAAACATCCACGTCATCTTTTAGTTGGCGATCCTGTCTGTGTTGCAACTGAAGTTACTAAATAAAGTAGAAGTATCGCCGTAATCGTTTTTTTTGTTTATGCTGGCTGTAGCTGCACGCCACGCTGAAGCCCAATTTATGGGCCTTGCTATGGGGCAGCTAAAGCCAGTGCTCTATTTCCTCTATATGCTGTGTTTCTGTTTTAGAGTAATCTGCCTGTGATCAGGTAATATAGAACACATTCAAGAGGTTCAGTACACAACATTGGTGTACTGTACTTGTGCAGTATTCCCCTTGCTGTCGATGTCTTCACTGGGAAGATGTGCCCTCTCTATTTGTCCTGACACCACAGTGATAGGAAATCCAACATGTTACAGTTGTCACCAGTACAAAAAGTATGCATATATCGTTCAACGGGGAGGTGTTCTGCTGTGGGAATTTCACACTGTAGAGATTTCTTGTTGGTTCCTGCCTCTGGGATAAGAAGTGAAGGGAAATTTCCCCCCACAAAGACCAAAGAAAAAAAAAAAAAACCCTGACATGTTTTAACCATTCCTTACACCCCCAAAAACCAAAAAAAAAAAAAAAAAACCCTGACGTGCTTTAACCATTCCTTACTCTATGCAAAGTCTAAAAAAAAAAAGGCTTTAAATAGTACAAACTTAATTAACTTTACTACCATATCTAAAAACAAGAAGCAATTCACAGTTATGCAAGAAAATTTAGCACAAAGTATTCCATGGTGTGTTTGGCAGACATTCTCTGAGATTGGTAGCAAAGCTAATGTAGACATTTTATATTTTGTCATTAAATTTGTGCTAAAGATAAATGATGCAAGATAAGCGCTAGTATACATGGGTTTTTGTGAAGCATTTTGTCAATGCTGTTAAATGTAGTGTGTTGAATATGGAATTGGAATGTATCAAGCAGGGTTCACTTGCAAATCATTGTTGCTTCACTTTAGTTCATCGCCACATTTTTTTTTTTTTTCTGCCAATCATTTTTTTGTACACATGTTAAAATGCACATTTAGCCCTGAAGATTGCTTAAAATCCCAAAAACATATTTTATGAAAGCAGAATCATAAATGTTAGTTTTCTGTCGTGTGATAATTGTACTACTGTTTTTTGAATGTATAATTATTCTGTGTAAAAAAAATAAATAATAATTTTAGTGCACACAAATGTTATGCCCATTTTCCGGTAAAATATAAAACATGAGGTTGGGTTGAGTAGATAAAGGCCAGATATGTCCAACCTTAAAATTGTGCGAGCCCGTTAAATGGTGAATGGTGTTACAGTTAACAGTGAATAATGGCCCTAGAGGTATTGCTCTTACTCCGGAATGCACCGCAATGTGTCATTTTCATTTTTTTTTTGATCAATTACTGTAGAAATAAAAGCTGTAATTATTATCAGAAAGCTGGCAACGGGGAGAAAAATGAATACATTAAAAAAAGTTATATATTTTTTTAATATAGATAGAATCTACTGGCTGCTATAGTAGCCTGGATTCTGTTTATATGCCGGTGCGGACTCTGAAACAGTACTTAGATCCATGGTAGCAAAAGCAGCTAAAGTATATCTAAAACCAAACCTAATATTTTTATTTTTTTGTTTAATTTTGGATGGAGTAGGGAATGGTTTAAACCGTTGTCTTTTTCACTGAGTGGAGCCCCAGCCCATACTAAAAAGAAGCATGTCTTTTCTGCGCAGGACCACGGAAACAAGCGAGTAGTTATATAAAGTAAGGTACTCCCGTTTCTTGCCACACTCCAAAGACCTGCTGCTAGGTTTATTGGCTTCTGTCTAAAATAGCCCTAGTATATTTGTGTGTTCTCCTTGAGGTCTGGGCCTGGTGTGAATAAATAATATGCAAAGTGCTGCGAAGAATAAATGTATGTAATAGATTCAATGTGTGGCAATCCCAAATTAAAGTGATAGAAGCAGTAGCACACATTGGGTACATGCCAATTTCATAAAGTGCTTTCCCTTTCATAAAGTGGGCACCCAGATGCTGGCCCCCCTCGTAGTTGTTACCCCTACTCATTCACTCATTCACCAAATAACAGTAAAATAAATTAAACCACACCATGTGCCAAAGTTCTTTATTTGAAAAAAAAAATGACAGTTGACAAGTTACAAAAAAAAGAAAAAAATTCCATCAATGTAATCCCCAAGTGCATCATGTTCTCCAGCGATGTAGATCCTCTTCAATCATGGTGCCTGCCGACTTGACCGAAGAAAGAAAATCCCCGACTCCATGTACGATCCTGACGAACAGCGGCTGCAAGTGACAGGCCTGCTTTGGAAGGTAAACAGAGGGGCAGCCCCCCATAACCATCGGGCCAGGGTTGTGGGGAAGAGGCCCTTATCCTCATCAACATAGGAACAAG